TTCCTGGCTCTGCACTTACATGCGGATTCGCGATTTTTGGGGTTTGGGGTTTAGGGTGGAGGGTTTAGGGTTTAGGGTGGCCAAGCGCTAACATTCACATGATTTCGAGAACAAGCATTGAGAGACAGGAGAAGCACCTAGGGGAAGCAAGGTTTTAGGGTCTAGGGTTTAGGGTTTAGGGTGAGGCAGACAAAACTCAGCCAACAAGCAATACTACTCTTTCGACACCCGAAACCCGAAACCCTAAACCCTAAGCCCTAAACCGTAAACCCTGAGAAAAGGCGAGAGATGAAGCACAGATGCGTGACATGCAGGAAAAAATCGAAGCTATTCAATAATATCGGGGTCGGAAAAATCACTAATGCTCTTCCCTTAGGGTGCCTTTAGAACCATAGAATAATAACCTCCCCCCCAAAAACAACTATTCTAATTGCTAAGGCCCCTGTAGTATTGCAATGTTCTTGCTGATTTAGTCATTGAGTTGAGTTTTCAGGAGACATCGAGATTCAAGAGGGCCAAGCATTGACCAGCTGTGCACGCCAAGCAACCTGTGTTCCCCCTTCACCCTTTGCTGTGAGGTTTAGGGTTTATGTAGCTGCGGTGTTGGGAGCACGCTACTAATGTTCTCTAAACCCTAAACCCTAAACCCTAAACCCTAACCTTCTGTCTGACACAGGCAGCCGAGACGGAGAGCTCCGCCCGTTTCCAGTTGCGCCGCGAAGTGACCAGAAAGTGCCTCACCAGATGTCGTTTTTGTTCTTAGCAGCCCAGTGGTACCCTTTACCATGTTGTTGCTTATGGGTTCCCGTTTATAAAACAACCAACCCAAAAAAGGGTGCCCTTATTATAATATGTTTACTGGGCTACCAGTGTTGCAGTATCAGTCAGACTCTTCCTGGGACCCTCTCTACCTACTGTGTTATGAGTTATACCTACTAATTAAGGGTAGTGACTATGAGACTCTAGGCAAATAGAGTCCCAGATATAGTTAGTCGATGTTCCTTGCTGAAGTACCAGCCCGTGTGCCTTGTAGCTATCACGAAGCCTTGGTGGTCTTTCTCCTTTCCGCTTACATGCATGAGGTGGTGCGAGAGCCTAAACCCTAAACCCTAAACCCTAAACCCTAAACCCTAAACCCTAAGCCCTAAAGCTGCCAAGAAACCTTTTGGACTTGTGGACTGAGGCTCCCCGGATACATGGTTCCTTCCTGCTTCATTCCCTTGGACCGGCTCCCACTGACAGCCTTCGGCAAGATCGACGAGAAGAGCCTCCAGGAGCAAGGATTTAGGGTTTAGGGTTTAGGGTTTAGGGTTTAGGGTTTAGGGCAGTTAAGGGCTTCGGGCTTAGGGCTTAGGGCTTAGGGTTTAGGGTTTAGGAACCACTGCTTGAGAATCCCTCCTGCTCTCCAAGAACGCTAAACCCTAACCCTAAATAGGCCGTTTTTGACCCGTTGCTAGGGCGGCAGGGAGGGCATGGCACTGAACCGAAACCGGTGCTTGCCTTGGCTGGTATGTGACGTCTTCACGGCATGTGCGCAGCAAAGAATCACCTTTTTCGATGGGTTCTTGGACCTAAACCCTAAACCCTAAACCCCAGAAACCCTAAGAACCACCTCATGCAAAATCCGCCACCTTCATCCTAGCAGGCCCTAGAGGGCCCGTGAGGAGTGAAAGAGGCCCCGAGCCCTCAAAGCCCCTCAAAGCCATCCAAAAAGCCTTTCAGTGCATAGAAGGAGACTTATTCGGAGTGGTCGAGCTGCCAAAACAGTCTGCAGGAGCCGAATTTGCTGTGCTTGGTGTTTGGGGGGGGGGGGGGTTGTGCTCATGTCGCTGTGGTTGTTGCAGACTCCGTCGGGAGCCCGTCGACCCGAGTCACCGGAGTCTTGTGAGAGTCCAGCTCACACAGTGTAGGCAGCTCACACAGTGTAGGGTTTAGGGTTTAGGGTTTAGGGTTTAGGGTGTAGGGTGTAGGGTTTAGGGTTTAGGGTTTAGGGTTTAGGGTTTAGGGTTTAGGGTGTAGGGTTTAGGGTTTAGGGTTTAGGGTTTAGGGTTTAGGGTTTAGGGTTTAGGGCATCGGCGCAGGCAGTTCCAACCCTCAACCCCCAAAGCCCGCACGTTAAGGAGGCCGGCGACAAGGCTGAGCCACGCAACGATGCCGAGAGGGCCCCTGGAGCAAAGAAAGGAGGTCATTCGTTTCATATTAAATTTACTGTCACGTGTACGCATTAAAATCGTGTAAATGCTGCGTTCATTATATTATTTCGGCTTTCGTGCATCATTTTATTCTTTACAAAGCCTTATAATATATTCTCTAGTTTCGTTCACACATTAATTGATTTCACGCGTACGCTTCACTCCTTGTAAATCAATTAATATGCTCTCTACACTCTCTTCGTTTATTAGAGAATGAATGTCGCATGAACGTATTTTATTGGGGGTTTTCACTTCGTTCTCAAGTTCGCGCATTTATTAATAGAATTCGTGCTTCACAAGTTCATTACAATTCTATTATTAAATCGCTTCCTTGTTCTCTTCGCTCACACGGTTAATCTTATGAATGAGCCCGTCCAACATGAGCCTTTCATTGCCAAGCTTTTAATGGTGGATTTCTGAACCCTATTCAGCTTTAGGGTTTAGGGTTTTGGGTTTGGGGTTTAGGGTTACGGTTTAGGGTTTAGGGTTAATGGCTTATAAACCGCACGCTAAATGAGTGTTTACGAAAATAAGGCACCCCTAGTTTAGAGCCCCCCATACTAGGATTCCCTGCAAAGGACCCCAATAAGGTACCCGTATTTTCGGAAACCCCCAAGTGAGGGGTTCGGGATGTACAAGGTGTGCTCAAAGCTCGGGTCACCCCCGAAGTTTCTTTAGCAGCCTTAAACCCTAGCCCTAAACCCTAAACCCTAAACCCGAAACCCGAAACCCGAAACCCTAAACCCTAAACCCTAAACCCTAAACCCTAAACCCTAAACCCTAAACCCTAAACCCTAAACCCTAAACCCTAAACCCTAAACCCTAAACCCTAAACCCTAAACTCAGACTGAGACGGCCCAGCCGCACTCTAAACCCTTAAGTCGGCCTTTTACTAACAGTCCTTAATTGGGATTCTAGTACCCCCTATTATAGTCCCTATCAAGAAATGTTAGTACAAGACCCTAAACCCTAAATCCTAAACCCTAAACCCTAAACCCTAAGCCCTAAGCCCTAAGCCCTAAACCAATTGAACCATCTGCAGGAGCTTTAAGATTTATGAATTTAGGGTCAAATCCTGCTCGGTCCAACTGGTGGTTTCCGAAGTTAGGGTACCTCATGGGGGTCCTTCGCATAAGGGAATCCTACTATTTGACCCTAAACCCTAAACCCTAAACCCCAAACCCCAAACCCTAAACCCTAAACCCTGTGTCCAGTCCCAGGACATGGTGCAAATCTGGAAGGATGGGCTTCGACAAACAAAAGCGATACATGCTGCAGCCACTTTATTTTCATGAGGTTGCTCTTCTTGGCTTAGGGACCGGGTAGGTAACCTGTAACGTTTTTTGCTATATAGAGTCCTACTCTATATATATATATGTATATATATATATATATATATATATATATATATTTATTTATTTATTTATTGATATTTATAAATATACATGCAAAAGGTTAGGCTCGGGTATTCAGCTCCTAAGTTGCGGGGGGGGGCGGGAGTTGGTCGGGCGGGGTCATGCGCAGGAAGTCCTCAATGTTGACCAGCTGGGAATCGACGATGACACTTGGCCGGAAAGCCCTGCGCTGCTAGATTCTAAGCGTGGCGCTTTATGTGCTATTGCCATCCGTGTGTTGGCAATGTTCTCGCAATTTCTTGTCCTTCCTCTTGCAAGGAAGCACGAAGTAACATCCGAAACTTCAGCGAGGGATCAGGATTTGACCGTGAGCCTGTTGATTTCTTCCTGGACAGCATGCAGGTGTTTGAGCTCTTTTTCCTTCAGCCATGCCAGCAAAGAGAGGTATGAGGGATCCTCAGACCTTGAATTATGAAAAGTCCTTGAATCATGCTCAGAGCCCTATTCTCATGTGACGCATCTCCCTTAACTAGTAATACCGTACATGTTGCCAGCCATGTGTCTGACGGGGCCGCGCTTGGTAGTCCTGCGCAGTAAAAGGAGCACATCATCTAGACCGGGTCAGACTGGGGGTACCGCCGATTACACCTTGGCAACCTCAACCCTTAAACCCTAAACCCCAAACCCCGAAGCCATTCCCAGAGATTGCCCCAAGACCTTCCAAGTCATCCTTGCGCATGGGGCCATGCTAGGCAACGCTAGCTCCCAAACCCTAAACCCCAAACCCCAAACCCTAAACCCTAAACCCTAAACCGTTGTCTGGTCGCACTGAGATCTCAGGACTTTTTTGAGCTCGGCGGAACTTCCTTCCTGGCTCTACGGCTAGTCTCGCTGTGCAAGGGCTCCTTCCAGGCGATCTCCTTTTGAAACGGCGTCTGCTGTCACGCAATTTCTGCAGTAAGAGCACTACCTCAACCCCTAAAATATGTAACACAGTGGCCCTTTTTGAGGGGTTTGGGCTGTTTTTTTTACATACTTTGGGGGGTCCAGGTAGTTGATAGCAAATGGCAAGGTCACGCAAGCTAGCTCCCTCGAGCTGGCAGGAGCTTTGTTTGCAACCTTCCTTTTTTGGCGCGAGCGACTTAAGGGGACCTTTTGCCTGATATCTTAGGGATGAAGGTCACGGCGAGGGGGCCTTTGGCCTGATTAAGTAAGCAGGAGGCGTCACGGTGCGCGCAGATTTCCTGATAAGGTGGAGCCACTGGCCCCCCGACCCCCCAAGGGTCTGCAGATCTTGCTTCAACATGCTCGCACATGCGGGGGGCAGCGGCAGTCCAAACTTGCAGGTCTGAGCAGAGCTGCAGTCGCCTGCCAATAGACGCAGCGGCTGGCCACCCTTCGGGTCCCTAGCTTTCGTTCGCCCCGCTCTCAAGCCCTTCGTGTTTTTAGAAGCATGTGGGTGGCATTGGAGATGGAAGAATTGCACATGATGTCCGTCGAAAGCCCAACCCTCGGAACAAGCAAAGCCAAAGACGACACACCGAACGCTGCTTTCGTTACACGCGTGTGATTGAACCATCGTACTACCGTCTTGGCGCTTCTGCAGGCGCATCTTTCCCTCCCCCGATGTTGCAGGCGTCGTTCTTCTGCTGATTCGCTTTTTCCGGTGCTCCGTTGCAGCGTGTAAAGCTCACAACTGCGCCCCTTTCATCGAAGAGGTGTCGACAACATGTATTAATGTTAACCTCATATTTATAAAACCCCCCTCAATTAAGGGAGAGCTATCAAAAAACAAATACCCATCAAAAAGTAAGGAAATAACTATCAAAAATATTCAATAACTGTCAAAAAGTATTTATTCGTAATTCGTATAAGCAGAAAGATGAACTCTCTCTCTCAATTCAGGAATCCCAATCCCGGAACTCAACCGGATGTTTTTTTTCTATGGGCCCTTTTGGGTAGGTCAGGGCTTGGGGGCGGCTCAGGACAGCCTTCCCTTCAATAGCGGGGTCGGGGCGGAAACAAAAAATCAATTGAGGCGGTGGGGGGGCGGGGGCGGGGGGGGGGGTGTCGGGGGTCAGGGGGGGCGGTCGGGGCGGGGGGGGGGGGGGGGGGGGGTGGGTTATTAATAGTTATTCATTCGAGGTCAATTAACTTGTTCCTGCAAGAAAGGTGGTGGGGACATACTCGCTTCGCAGGCTACCGCTCAAGCGCAAGAAGCTTCTAGAAGTAAACCCGAGACCCGAAACCCTAAACCCTAGACCCTAAACCCTAAACCCTAAGAAGCTTCTAGAAGTATTCAGAAGATTGTGACAGGTGGCCGACCTGTTCCAAACACCCACCATCCGTGAGCTCATGGAGCCAGCCAACGTGCCAACATGTTTGATTCCGCTGCGCCATCCGGTCAAACCCAGGCAGGATTCTCCTTCCGCTTGTTCGTGTCGCATGATTTGAAACAGTGTTTAGGGTTTTAGGGTTTAGGGTTTAGGGTTTAGGGTTTAGGGTTTTCTACATTACTCATATTGAATGAGTGTATATAAGGTTCCCTTTTGAAAGTTTGTGAGTGCATATGTTGGGTGTCCTTTGGGGATGCAAGGAATATAAACCCTACTTCATTTTGGCTTTAGGGTTGAGGGTTAGGGTTTTGGGTTTTGCGGGGGAGCTTAGGTAAGCTCCTTAGCAGCAACGGTTTGGAGTGATGCAAGAGGGCTTGGGAGTTTCAGAAGGGATGCCGGCAACCGGGTCTCAACCATGACCTTCAGGCACCTGGCATTTTGCTTGCCCGGCTTTGGTGGCAACGCTCGTGCCCTCAGTGAGGCCGCCGGAGCGACTTTGAGCACTTTGGGAAGATGGTTCAACTCCTCGAGCTGCGTAGAAGTGAGAACCCGAAACCCGAAATTCCGAAACCCTAAACCCTAAACCCCAAACCCCTAAACCCTAAACCCCAAACCCCCAAACCCTAAACCCTAAACCCTAAAGGATGCAGGCCTGGTAGGCGCCAGCTCCGGCCCTGACACAGCCGAGGCGACCTTTGCCGCGGATGTCGCCATCTTTGGCATTCAGCCCAAGGGCATGGTGAATGCTGCCCTAGACCCCCCGCTGGAGGCCCCGGCCCGCACCGGTGTTGCCTCCAGCTATTAGGGTTTGGGGTTGAGGCTTGAGGGTTTAGGGTTTAGGTTTGAGGGTTTAGGGTTTAGGGTTTAGGGCGAGCTTCCCCCTTGACCCCCTGCGAGGACCTGGGCGACATGATTCAGCAAACCTGCTCGGTGGTCCAGCAGGCCAGAGCATGCCAAGGGCCCAGAAGGGTTCATGGAGACCATCAAACCCCGACCATCAAACCCTAAACCCTAAACCCTAAACTTTAAACCCATTTAATAGGGACCCCACCTAAAGCGGGCCACTCTTGGCTGCACAGGCCGTAGCCAGCGTGGACTTCGAGCCAGACAGCATCACCCTCTTTGGCTACTCTGCTGGCACACTGCTGGCGCTTGGTGTGGCGGACGCCTTGAAGGACACTGTATCAAAGGTGGGCTTGCGACATTCGGGCATCATGAACGACTTGCATAAACCTAAACATGTCTGTTCGGGTCAGACCCGGCTGTCACAATTGTTGGTGTGGCGACTCACTTCGAAAGCGTGAAAAACGACAATGTGTCGGCCCAAGATCTTGCCTGACTATCATGAAAGGCGCGTTTTCCCACAGTGAAGGGGGTGCATGCTCGACTGTAACGGGAAGCGCATTGAGCATCTGAAACTCGGGAACCTGGAATTTTCGAAAAGCTTCTTCACGGCAAACTACGTACCGCAAATCACGGCACCACTTGTACGGGTAAGAGCGGAAAGCAGCAGTGTGAGCAGCAGTACCAGCCGACGTAGCTGCAACATCACAATAGTTTAGGCCCAGACAAAATTCGCCTGAAACCCAACAATGCCCAAGCAAGCCTGTTGGCTCAGGTGGTCCTGATTGCCCCGGGCTCCCCAACGTTTTTGCCTGCAGACGAAACTCCGCGGAAGTGTGACGATCTGCGCCTTAGCTGGCACCATTCATGGCTGGCACGATTCATGGCGGGCACCCCGCAGAAGAGTAAACTTCTCGGCAGTTTTTGCAATGAAACTTAAGGTACCAAGATCTCCGCTACACATCCCTTGTCCTCTCTTTGTTCTTGGCGCCGCAGGCTGCTCACTGGGTTCTCTGACAGTACTTCTTGTTTTCTTTTCAAGTTGTTGCAGTCTTGCATCTATCAAAGCGAGACCCACCCTCCCCAAGCACGAAGTGCAAGAGGGCCTGGACGTCATGGCGGTGGCAGAGACAGTGAAATCAAAGGAGGACTTGGTGGAGGCTCGCAACTCGGGAACACTGTAGCATGCGTATAGTTGTTATAGTAGCAGTCGTAGTAGCAGTAGTAGTAGTAGTAGTAGTAGTAGTAGTAGTAGTAGTAGTAGTAGTAGTAGTAGTAGTAGTAGTAGTAGTAGTAGGGGGGGACACGCCCTTGACGGGGGGGGGGGGGGGGGGGGGGGGGGGGGGGGGGGGGGGGGGGGGGGATAATAACGTCATTCATATTGCATGCCTAAAACACTGGTATTTACAGTGTTTTCGCTTCTTTCTGCAACATTCTTGACAAGGAGGTGGAACAAGGTACGTTGCCACAAGTCTCCATGCCTTTCGCGACCATGCCCAAAAACACTGGTATTTGCGGCGTTTTTGCCTCTTTGTACAACATTCTGCACCAGGAGGGGGTGGGGGGGGTGGGGGGGGGATAATAACGTCATTCATCTTGCATGCCTAAAACACTGGTATTTACAGTGTTTTCGCCTCTTTCTGCAACATACTTGACAAGGAGGTGGAACAAGATACGTTGCCAGGCGAGAAAAACAGTGCAAGCCCCAAGCCCTCAACCTGAACCTTCAACTCCAAACCCAACCATTCAACAGTGCCAAAAAAAATAAGCCAACACATGCGACACGCGCAAAACCCTGTAAATAAAGATGCTTTCCTCTTTTCAGAGATTGCACCCGAAGAAGCTGTAACATAAAAGCGCGCGTTTTCACAGCCAGAAAACACTGCAAATACCGATGTATTCCTCACGCACCCTAAGTAGTTGCAAGTAGTTTCCGGAGATTTTAACACGTGCATTTTTCACATCCAAGAACGGACAAAGCCAGGAAACACTGTAAATACCGATGTTTTCGTGTCTTCGCACGAAAAATGCACGCCCCGAAGCCCCTGCTATCAATTAGGAACGTGACGCCTAGCAGTAGTAGTAGTAGTAGTAGTAGTAGTAGTAGTAGTAGTAGTAGTAGTAGTAGTAGTAGTAGTAGTAGTAGTAGTAGTACTAGTACTAGTAGTAGTAGTAGTAGTAGTAGTAATAATAGTAGTAGTAGTAGTAGCAGCAGCAGCAGTGGTAGTAGTAGTAGTAGTAGTAGTAGTAGTAGTAGTAGTAGTAGTAGTAGTAGTAGTAGTAGTAGTAGTAGTAGTAGTAGGAGGAGTAGGAGTAGGAGTAGTAGTAGGAGGAGGAGGAGTAGTAGCAGGAGTCATATGACATGCTTAGTGGTTCTTGTACGCAGTTCCCCTTTGTACGGTCCTTTTTGGGGGGCTTTCAGGTCTCACAAGATGAGGGGCGCAAACAGCTGAGAAACTGACTGAGCACGCAAGCATTGCGTTTGCAAATGGGTGAGGGAGGCGTGGGGGGGGGGGGGGATTTGGGCCCCACGCCCGTGGTTTGAAGAAAGCCGCATGCTTACCGTAAGTGAGCCGAAAGCCATCTTTTTCATTCGCAGCAGTGGTTGGCAGGCCCTATCCACATTCAGCCAGCCCTAACCTGCATTCGCTCTTTTTCAAGACTTTCAAGAGTCAGCGAAGGGAGGCCACCGTGAAGCCTGACTCGCTAAACCCTAGACCCAGAAAATCTTCCGAATATGCTGTGGGCAAACTACTCCTTCTCCGGCTTCATAGTAGTCGTCGTAGTCGTAGGCAGGATAATTTTGATAATAATAATAATACTAGCAGCAGCAGTAGAAGTAGCAGTAGCGGCGGCAACAGTAGAGCAAGCAAGCCTTAAAGCTCGGGTTTGGTATGCGCGGCGTGGAGAAAAGAGCCAACACGCACCTGGCAGTTCTGTCGTCGTGGTCGTGGTGGTGGCAGTGGTGGCGGTAGTAGCAGTCGCGTCGTCGTTGTCGTCGTCGTGGTTGTAGCCGTCGTTATTGTTGTTCTTGTCGTAGTGAGAGGCGGTTTCACCACTGGTTATTAGTAGCTTATTGCTTCTTTAAAACAAGTAGGTCTGATGTATGTTGCCTCTTTCATGCAGCGCAGAGAAAATAGTTACTAAAATAGAGCAACCTCCGCATCGTTTTTCTGGTAACCTCGCCCGGGTTTCTCTAACAGTAACATCTTGCAACTTGTTTCCAGGTTCTGCGTTCCTGAGATTTCATGGTGAAACTTCGCATTCCAGATAACTTGTGCACCTCCCTGTACCTTGTGTCTCAGGCAGTCAAGAAAGCGGGCCTGAGTGACCAAGCAGTGCGGCCATTCCTTCCGTACTTTGAGGCACGATACAAGTCCCAGAAGGACCTCCCGTGCTCATGATGGTGTAACCCCTGGGGTTGGACCCAGAGAGTGGATTGCACATGTGTATATGCGTGGGTGTGCGTGTGCGCGCGCTGTCTCTCTCAGTGTGTCTCTCTGTGTATGTCTGTGTGTCTGCCTGTGTGTGTGTGTGTGTGTGTCTGTCTGTCTGTGTGTGTCTGTGTGTGTGTGTGTGTGTCTGTGTGTGTGTGTGTGTGTGTGTGTGTGTGTGT